CTGCACTGAATCTGTGATGTTGAATTCTTAAAGCCAGTGATAGGCAGCAGATGCTGACTATGCTATTTCTGGACCGTTTAAACTATCTGAACTACTTCACAATAAAACAAATTTTTGGTGTTTTAACTCTGCCCCTCACAAGACAAGCAGCCAACATATGCAACATACTACACGTCTGGTGCATTCCCAGTGCCACTCACAGTCTCATCCTACACAGTGTCCTGTGTAGTAAACACACGTTTACCGCTTTCTTTAAAAAAGACAGGCACATGCTTTAGCTTTAAGCGAAAGGAAAGGACTTTTAATTGTTTAGATAGCTGGGTGTAGTTTGAACAGCAGCACATAAAAATATAAAAGATTTGGGGTAAAGGACATGGCATAAAAATCCAGAACAGTCTACAATAATCATGGCTTCTGAAACATAAGCCTGAGATCCTGAAAACCATCTTTACAGCCAAATCCTCTATGGAGTTAGAGGTAGCTGAAATCAGTAGTACCCCACAAGAAAGCAACACTTGTGGAAGTGATTTCCGATCCACATCACACACCGTTTCCACTCTGACCCAACAATAGCGTGAGTTATTAACACTACTTCAACTACAGCCAAAACTGTAGCTTCCATACAACTTCACACCAGGCCTGGACTGCTCGGGCCTTACTTTAGTCCTGATCTGCAACCTCAGTATGCTGTGCACTCCCCAGCATAAGCCCACTTACTATACTATACACAAGAACTAGGCTAACTACAAACTTTAAATGGAGTACAATCTATAAAAATATTGAGTCACTATGTTGTACACCTGAGACTAACACTAATATTGTAAACCAACTATATTTCAATTTTAAAAAAGAAGGATAACCGCATATAGGGCATTCAAAAGAAAATAAGCTCAAAACTGGCAGCATCCGGTATCCCTGGTAGCTCTTTTAGTCAGGGCAATTTAGAATTAGAACTGTCTCCCTGCCAAAGTACGCTGAGGAGAATGATGAGAAATACGGTACAGGGGACTAGAGCACAGTAAATTCACCGTGTTCTCATAGCTGTAAGTCAGAAACAGAAATTGGATGGTACTGTGAAAACTCCAACCCCAAAGGCAAAGAATACCTGTATATTTGGTTTTATTTTAGAAGTGAAACATTTCCTGATATATAACCACACAAATGTTATGAACCGGGGGTAAAAAGGCAAATCTCACTGATGATACCAAAACTAAAGAGCTTTATCTATCACAGGAAATATACTATATAAAATAAATCCCTAAAAACACAAATTTATGACTGTTTACGAATGTAACAGTTATACATCAAAAACTGAACTCAAATTTCCAAGTCAGTGATTCTTAGTCTATTTTGGACAGACGTATCTCAGAGCCTAAAAGCCATAGGTCCATTCCCCTGAGCACATATTCACTAAAGAACTTGCAACATAACTTCAAAATGTTTACAGAACCTCTCTGTAATTATGGATCCTTATTCTAAGTAATTATCTCTTTCAGCTCAATTTTAAGCTCCATACAAGCAGAGAAAGTCTTCTTCAGATATGTGCTTAGCACTGGCACCTAAAACCTTAAAACCTAAGCACCTTTTCAAGCACAGGCTCCAGCAGCCACAAAGAAGGGTCTTCAGGACACCCAGGTGGGCTGCCCCATCAGGCAGGGTCCTGCCCCTCAAAACCCCCAGCCCCTCCACGCAATTTGCTGACAACATTGCCCTCAGCACATTTTACAGATGAAGTTTGTGTTTATTTACCTAGACTCCAGATTCTACGAGTGGTAAGTCTTATTTCTGGAAATGATTTACACCTGACTTTCTAAATGAAAGAGTAAAATACTATAAAATGGGGTTTTTATACTTTCTATTTTTCAGTTTAATTATATTTTCCTTTCTACCCACTTTTAATAGTACGAGAGATATATAAATCACTGGTCCCTGCCTCTTAAAACAAAAATTAAGAAGTTAACTTATGTGCTTAAAAAAAAAGTCTCCATTGACACAACATTGTACAATGATTATAAATCAATAAAAAATGTTAAAAAAAAGTCTCCTATATAAATTTCATACAACCTCTTGAATTATTTTCTAAGAAAATCTGTATTACATCATTCCCCATCTTAGAAATTCACTTTTATTAAGCCCTTCATCCTCGCAATCGTGGCTTTTCTCATCTGCTATCCATCTTTTCTCCCTTAGTCCCAGTTCATTCTATTACGCCAGTCAGACCATTCTCCCTTATTAGCACCACTGGGCAATCCTTTGCTGTGTGATGGAATCTGGGGTAAACAGTGAACAAGGCAGACACGATCTACATGCTTGCAGGGCTCACCATGTTCCTTTCTACACCAACCAGAAAGCAGTTTGGAAGATTAAAGAATTATACTGTCCCTCTATTTCACATGCCTATGTTTTGTCCATTGAGTGTAAACGCTTTAAAAAAAAAAAAAAGACTATAACACTGTCTTCACTTGTATTTTCCTAAACTTCTACTTCAACAACACTAAAAGCAATACCATTCATAGAAACATTTATTTAAAACTTGTTAAATAAACAGGCAGTATTTAAAACCTTCTTGATTATACACCCATAATACTTGTTCATTGTAGCAAAACTTGAAAAGACAAAAAAGATAAAAATTCCAGTTATTTTCAGAAAAAACAATCCAGTTACTTTCATATTCCATACCGAGAAATAATCTATCACTTTGTCAAAATGGATCACTCAAGACCTTTCATTCCTTATAAAAATCCATAATCCATAATCCAAAATAACTATTTTCACCCCAAAGGCTCAAAATTTATCATTTTATCCTTTTTTTCCTCTTAATATCAACCTCTTTGAAGGTGCAGTTTTGTAAAGGAGCAATACAGTCACTGATTTAAACTCAACAATACAACAGGACTATGATAAACTTAACAAGGTCACGGTAAGGAGTGAATGAAAAGCTATGTGGAGAGCCCATTACGAATCACAGAACATTTGTAATTACTCCTCTGACCAAAGGATATGAAGAAGTATCAGTTCACAGAAACTACAAATGATTATTTTCCCCATGTATTAGCTAATGATCCAAGTTCTACAGCTAAAATCAAATACCGTCACACCATAATTACAGATGAAAGCCTTTAGGATGTAAAATAAAAGTAGGTAATATAACCTCACGAAGTTAAATTGTTAGCCAACAACAGTACAGACTTAATTCCACTGGGTGTTCACAAAACTAGAGAGCAACAGTGCTCAAAGTGGGAGGTGGGGCCAAGGAGCAGAAAGGACAAAGGAACGGAAGAGTGCGTGAGCCAATTTGCTTTCAAACATTCCTGTTTACTTTCAGTAGCATGAGGACAAATAGAAGCTTGGTAAAGAGGTACTTTCTGTCCTGTTCAATTGCAGCCTAAAGAGAACACTCGTCTTCATTCTTGGGATGTTTTTATGAATCCTGGAAGACGGATAATTTCTGAAAGTTGAATAACCACTATTGAGTGATCACCTAAACTATCAGTTTATAAATGGACTGGGTTGATCTTAAGAAAAAACTTCTCTCAAAGTAATAGGCAAATATATATATAACACAAATTTCAAGTTAGTTCTTCAGTAATAGTACCTAGCGTTGGAGACATTTCAGTGACAACTTTTTGAAGTTTTTTGGTAATTGGATATGTAAAATGCCTACTCACATCATATATTAAAATAACACATATGAAAGTATCTAACACTACCTAGAGTACAAAAGTTCTTTACTTTGACCACCAAGTAATTTCCAAATAATCAGAATTGAACTCTAGTAAGGACTTATTTTAACTCACAGTATGCAAGACTTTAGAATGTAACACTGGAATGCAAGCCAAGGCTTTATTCCTAGTTATAATATTTTTGTGCAAATTATGGTAGGAAACATTCTGTAAAACTTTAAACCTCTCATCTAACTGACCACCATCATTAATTAGCAAGGTGGTATAAAGGATGCTTTTAGCATTTACCTCTACCCTAATTATTTAAGTTTCAGAAGTAGTAAAATAGAGTGGAAAGAAAGCTGTGTACAATGTGGCTTTGGCGGAAGAGATAATAAAAGTAGTTGTTTCTTTCCTCTTCCTTTAGATTTGCTAATGCTTCTCTTTCATGAGTGAATTTCAAAGGAGTCTAGTATTACTCCAGAGAATTTCAACCTGGATCCTATCCATGGCTCAGTATCATCAGATTAGTGGATGTTTTGCTGATTTGAGTAGTTCTGAAATTCAAGAGATGGGATAAAAAGTACTTCATGAACTACAATGCACCATAATTTTTTACGTACCATTATTACCTTTTACTGTGAGTTAATATAGCTATTTCTAGGAAGACAGAGCCACGCATGCACGATTTTTGTTTTCTGTTAAAAGTCAAAATGCCAGCAAAACTCCTATGTACAAAGAACAATAATCTGAAATGTAAAAAGGTACAAGACTAACAACTTTCAAGCAATAAGTAGTTCAAAAATACAGTACTTATCACTAATACTTGTGACACTTCCCCTAATTGTGGCCCAAATACAAACTGATAACCAGAAATGTTAACTACTACATATTTTGAAATGATTTTAGTGCAGTAAACAAATACTAAGGGATTGGACAAAGACGTAATTTTTAATTGCCGAAGAAAAAGAAATGATTTCCGCCCTGTAACGTGAAGATTCATAATTTACCTCTTCTATTTACCTCAATTTGGGAGCATTTCTGTGTTTAAACCTAATTTTCTAAGAACTTAAGTTTGAATTTGTGTTTCTTAGAATTTTGGAGTGTCTCAATACTCAGAAAACCTAGTTTTGGTTGCCATTTTCTAACCTGGACAAACTCTTATTTACTATTACTGGATCTATTCCTTTATAAAAGTCATAAATGAGTTTGGTTATTTATCTTTTTTCTTCAGTCACTCTGTTTAAAGTATGTTTCCTTAGAACAATGAACATTAAAAGCAAGGTGGAATCTGTTAGGACAGCCTCTTATAATGTAACAACTGTAGTTCTTCTGTACCTGGTGAGAATGATTTGGTTGACAACATAAAAAAACCCAACAATGATATCAGCATCGTATAAAAAGGCTTGCCAGCCTATCTTCCACAATTCTCATAAGGTATTTTCTTTTCTTTCTTTCTTTTTCTTTTTTAACCAACACAGTAGAAGGTAGAATGCTGGTCCCACATATTTTTCACGAAGTCTGAAATTTAAGAAATACAGCCTTAAAATTATCAAAACCAGCCAAACACTTATTTAGAGATAGAAGTGGTTAAGAGTGGGGACAGCAAAGTCTGTCACTTTTTTAGATCTGTGACTATCTACACATAATGTAACAGTTCAAAGCCTCATCTTCCTTAGCCACATGTTAGAATAATAATAGTATCTGTTTTATAGGATTGTTGAGAAAATTATCTGAAATATTTCACTTAAAAGTTTGAACACAGATATGAGCGTATTCTAAGTGCTCAACAAATGTTTATCATAACCTTTAGCTTGTAATAATACAATTCTACAATACTGATGTACTGGTTTCTAGTATTATCAATTTAAAGCACTAGGAGAAGAGGTCTTTAAATCTAACAGCAAAAGTCAACAAAAACTCTGTCTTAACATTTCTACACGTATATTTTAGATCCAGAAGATAACCTCAACATGAACTACTCAGAAGCAGAGCTTATAAAGGATATTACCTCCTATTATTGCCCTATCTGGAAACTAGCAACAGACAAATTAACACTGCTACTAAGATACTTTCACTATTACTTTAAAAAAGCCACTCTGTTAAAGAAACAGATTATGCATGCATCAGTGTATATAAGAATGCTTTTAAATGCTGTATGAAGAAACTTCATGTTCTCCAAAGGAAGTCAGGCTCTAACAACTGCAATATTTAAAATGTTCATAAGAGGCTTTACTAAGATTAGAACTAAGTAGGGATCAGAAAATGCAACTACAGGGAGTTATAATCTGTAAAACAGCAGGTGCTCCAGACAATGAAGCTAAGGCTAAGCAAAAACCTAGGGATCTAAACACCTTAGATAATATAGTAAGAACTGCATTTATTTTAAAAATAACATAGTTACTTTTTATATGTATAGAAGTTTATAATATGTGATGTGTTTTCTACATGTAATCACATTTGTTCCACCAAATAACCCTATAAATTATACAGAAAAATTATTTTTTGCATATTACAAAGGCAAGGTTTTGAAAGTTAATATGGTTTGTCAAAAATCACTGTTAGGAAGCGACAAATGAAGACTTTAAACTCCACGTTTTCACTTACATTTCCACCTTCTTTCCACTACTCCATAAAGCTATTTCTTAAAGAGGCAAATTAGTATCTTCACAAAAAGAAATCTCTAGGCCAAACCACAGACTATTTTAACTAGCTGTGCTGACTTTGGTAAGTCATTACCCCTTACCAGATCTTTATATTTTCATCTGTAAAATGAGGGAAACTGATTAGAAAATTTGAGGCCTTTCCAGTTCAAGAAAAATTTCCAAGACTGTACCCTTTACAAAGTATGAGCATTTTACAAATACCTGTTGATGTCAGCCTCAGGAACAAGTTCCAAGTCAGAAGGTAATGTCAATGGCTCTTAAGCAACCTACTGCAATTACAGCATAAATTCTTCATACTGCTTCAGTAGAATCAAGTTTACATACAGAAAGCTGTCTACACCTCTTACAGACTATGATGGAAATAATAAATCTCATTAATCATTCTTTTTTTAAACTGAAATAATGCCCTTAAAAGACAAGGATGCTTTAAAAGAAAATTTAACTACTAGTCAACCAACACCAAGAAATTGAACATTATCACTATTATTCTTTAGAATAAAAATCTCTTTTCCAGTGAAGCATTTTCCAAATATTCCTACTGACTATTATTTCTCCAGTCTACCTCAGAAGAGTATCAGTCACATTTCTCAACAACTTCTACAGGGAAAAAAAGTAACATATAAGCATTTGATAAAAACATCTTCCTTTTAAATTAATTCCATTTGAACACTTGTCTCCAAAAAAAACTGAAGCTTTTCTCCCCTTTCCTGATATTAAAGAACTAAATCCAAAGGACAGCACAACACATTTTCATCTACTAAATTCTTTCGTCATCTGATTTTTTTCTCTCTACTGTTTCTCAAATACTCTTCATGACTACACATCGAGAGATTTTCACTTTTCCAGCTCCGTTTGTTCACAAAACCATTCTAACAATAACTATGGAAACCACAGAGATTAAGAACATTACAGGCATGCTGCGTTTTTACTCTTTTCCTTCCATGATTACCACTTAACATTTAGGTTCCACTTTATTTTAACACCTTGTCTGTCCCGAAAATAGAACACACAGCCTGAATAGTTAAGCTTGACCTCAGTCAACCGTCTGCAGACCTTCAGAAATTTAGTCAGTGCTTGTGTCATTTATAAAAGATCTTTTAAGTAATAAAACCTTCCCCTGCTTGCCTATAATCTCCTGGGGAAACACTTCGAATGTTTACAAGGTTCTGCGTTTAGCCCAAATTCAAGACTTCCCAACAAGTTTAGTTAATATAACGACTTGATTTTACAAAGTCGACACTATTTCATTTTGTTTTTAAGCCACTTGGCATCAATACAGCATACGTTCTGCCAGTTCTGAGCTAATCTCCAGGAAAGCCTTTGTACAACGATTGAAGAAACTGAAACAGATCAGTGCCCAAGATTTTTAAGAGCCTACTTGAACATATGTTTTTAATAAACAGTCAATTTATTCTAAAATAGCTGCTTTCCTAGTTCGCCTTCTTTTATAACTTACATAAACCGTTTTAAAATAAGGCAGAATACATGATTGAGAACAGGTTCACTTCAACTTCGGCATTAGGGGACCCGCAGCCGATCCAGCCGCGCTCGCCAGGGAGGCGCGGGTGCCCGGTAGACCTTATACTCCGATGACTGCCGCGCCTAAAACGTCTCCTACGCTCCCACCGGCGCGAGCGCGTCAACTTCCCGTCCCAAACCGTCCCTTACTGTTATTGCTAACGCAGCTGTCAGCTGGGCTTCGGCAACCTCTTTGTACAACCGTTTACTCAACGCTTTGGGATCCTCGAGGATGCGTCACACCGGGTTCCCCTCGAACGGGCTTTAAGAACCCGACGGCCCCGAGGGTGCGCGAACGCGGCCCGAACCGGCGCTCGCAGAACGCCGGGGC